AACTTCTACTCTTTCATTGCAAATCATCCTTCAATTTTTCATAGCTTTTGAGAGCCATTTTTGTGAAGCTTGTGTTGTGTTCTTGAGCGTTCTTAGTTTACTCATTATTCACTCTTAAAGAGAGTATTGTTCTTGAGTGTTTTTAGTGTTCTTAGACACTTGACAAGAGAAAGTATTTCTCTTGTTGCTCGAAGGAAGGGCAGTTTCCTTCGAAGGTTCGTTGAGGTTCGTGTGACTCAAATTCTCAAGTTGTACGGGTTTGTTAAGCACCGTTAAGCTTAACGAGATAGTAGTGTAGCTCGAGAGAGTCTCTCGGGAGGCTGGATTAGCCACAAGTTGTGGTGAACCAGGGTAAAATCGGTGTGCCTCTTACTCTTCTCTTTACTTCTCGTTTATTCATTTTTTATTCCTGCGATTTTTGATCAAACGCTATTCACCCCCCCTCTAGCGTTGGTCTATTATTCTAACATAGGGAGCCCATGTAAGATTACAAAAGAATCTCAAATATAAAAATGAATGCATTTGTGTTTCTGCTCACAAAACCAAACTCGATGCATTTTTATTAGACGTAAAAGAGAAACAAATCATATTCTAAAATGCAAATAAATATGATCATCTTCATCATCATTGTGAGAAAAATAAGACAAATAAATATAAATAAAAGAACAACGAATCCTAATTCCTACCATACTGCAAAATTAAAAGAAAAAAAATGAATGAAAACAACAGTTAAAATAGAAATAGAGACACCCCTACAATGACGATTCTTTTACCTGCTTTGAACGTTTGATTGCAAAATAAGTGTCATGGCTAGCTTTAGTAAATCCAAAATTAGCTTCGCGGATCGCAAATCATCATCATCATCATCATCTTCTTCTTCTTCTTCTTCTTCTTCTTCCTCTTTGTGAGCATTCTGGATCGCGCTGAACATCCCCAACTGATTATCCTTTGAACTAAAAAAATGTGTTGGAGAGGAATATATTTTTGTTCACCGTTCTAATCATAGTAGAAAACACTAAGTCCAACATTCGTGATTGCAAACCATTCTAGAAAGCTAGAAACCATTGTCATTTCCTCTAAAATTAAAACCCAAACCTTGAAATAATTTCTGGTTGATGGTAGCCAGTAGGCTCTCGAACGCTCTCCTCTATTCATCGTCCTTCGCCTCTGTTAGCACCTACCATGAACGGACCTTTGGTGTTTTATAAAAAATGCTTCTAGATTTTGAATCTCTGATGTCATCCTCAGCCTCTATCTCCCCCTCGTTCTTCACTCTCAATCTGGACCTTACACACAAAACCATAAAATATTCAAAGTAAATAAAACATTCTCAAAATAAGTTCCAAATAAACAGCAAAAAACAAAAAAACAAAAAAAAAGATGCACTCTAATCCTTTGGCTTCTCTTTTCTTCACCTTTTTCTCTGTCACGACTAATATTTATCAATTCATAGCCTTGCAATTAATCTAAAATGATTTCCACTGCCCTGTCCCATTAAATATTTATCAATTCACATTTAGATATAATGGTCGATAAAAAAGATTGTACCAGAGGAGTAAATTCAACAAACACCTTGCGTGAATGATCAAAAATAATTTTGATATTTGGGAGTGACTAACCTATCCCCCATTGATTTATGCCAATCAATATGATTTCTCCATTACAGAAGGCGTTTCTTCGAAAGGAATGGTATGAGTAAGTAACTTAGGGTTCAACATCAAAACATATGTATACCTGAGATGCCTATTGCACTGGAGCGAATGATTGAGGGAATTGTTACTCCGTCACGGCAGCGGCGAGAAAAACCTTGTGCACTAATTAGCACTTCGTCAAATGCGAAGAAAACCCTTAAAACAAATGAACTGATCGGTGAGCAGAGCAAGGGAATTTCAATAAATTAGCAAGAATTTCAATGCCCAACTTATTGTTTGCCTTTCCGATCGAAGTTAGATAATTGGGAGAATGGGAAGCGAGCAAGAAGAAGAAGAAGAGCCTGTAGTCCGGGAGAAGAAGAAACCATCGATCGCGGCTCAGGAAGCGAAGAAAGGGAAGTTGAGTAATACACCGTTTTTTATTATTTACACCAAAGCCACGTCATGGGACGCTTTAAATTATACTTCCACGTCAAATGCTGCGTCATACGCCACGTGGCGACACCACAATCAAATAACCCTACTTTATATATATAATATGATTATTCTAGAGCATACCTTTGAAGAAAATAGGATTCTTTTGACATAATTTTTTTGACCAATTCAAGTTTAGTTTATCCCCACATGTATTTTTCATACAATCAAATGTATTCATTTTTTAAAGATTATTTATTTGCATAACTCGTTTCATAATATAATATAATCATGTCATATCTTGTTTTATATAAAATTTTATCTAATTTTTAACTATCAAGATATATGAATTTAGTTCTTGAACTTTATATCTACCACCAAATAAATTCAATTGAAAATAATATCAATCAAACCTCGTAACACGAAAAAGAACCAACTTCGACGGAGGGAGTACTACGTACTCGATGGGCGATGGCAATGCCAATCCAAAGTACACCTTAAATTTGGATGAGAAATGCTAGAGTTACAAACTCAAAATACCAAAACTCTAAAAAAGAATTTAAAAAATAAAGAGGTATAATAGAATTTTAAAAAACAAATGTAAAATAAAATACAAACCAAAGGAAAATGAAAAAAATAGAACAGCAAAAAATCTGATATAAAAAAGAAAATTATTTTAGTTTCTAAAATAAAACATAGCATCTCGTGACAGCATCGATCTCCCACATCTCTCTCTCCCTCGGCAAAGCCACAAACCGTTCTTAATTACCTACTCTCTAAACTATACATCATTTTCTTTTCTTGACGTGGTCATGAGTTTCTCTTGTTATGAGAGTCTATTTATAGTGAGGAAGGAGAATTCTAGAAAGTGAAGGGGAAAATGAAGAGATAGCATATTTACATTAATCAAATAAAATATTAAAGTATAATTAAAATAAAAATGTCTATATTCATTACCTCCATTATGAGGTTAATGAATGGGAAGGGAGTTAAATTTTTCCCTTGTTAGAGCATCTCCAATCTTGTATACTATATTAGCTTGCTATTTTTATATTTTAATAAGTGAATAATGACATAGCAAGTGATATTTTGTTGCATTCTCCAAACATGGCTTGCTAATCCATTCTACAACTCTTGACTTCCTATAATTTGAAGAGCTTGTTATATTTAACAAGCTAAAGTCATTTCTTGACAAGCTTGCTAAAATTAAACACACCCATTGGAGAAGAAAAAAATAGGTGGACTTGCCATATTATAGCTTTTAGCAAGCCAAAGTAGAAGGATTGGAGATGCTCTTAGGCGTGATGTTTTAGAGAGGAAAACTCATGATTTAACTACATGTCCGACTTTTACAGTTTTAATTATTAAATATTTTTGGAAAAATACAAAACTTATACCGTTAAGTTCCATATTTTTTTACACATCATTTTAACATAATTTGTTTGCAAAGAAAATAGGTTAACTTGAACAAACTATATTTTTTCAGATAGTAGAGAACCAAAACTACTTTTATTGCGCTTACTCATCCCCTCTAACAATTTAATCATTAAAGCTTATATTCTTATTTTTTTATTTTTAAATAAAGAATAGTGACATATTTTTAATGAACATTTTTTTTTGCATACTTAAATTTTAAACATTTTTTTCAATTTGTTTTTTAATTTTATTTTGTAGTAAAAAGTTAAAAAAATTCTAGACCTGTTTTCAGGATGTTACACCGACGATGGACCGTTTGATGACAGCGGTCGACCGTTCTGCTAACAGTTGTGGTCCGTTTTGAAGTTTAACACGACGGTCATCCGTTTGCATCGACCGTTCGGGTTTGCGAATCTTAATTTTGATGTTTTTGGGTGTCTAAAATACTTTTTTTATTTCATTTTAACACCTATGATTAACATATCTATGTATTTGAAGTATTTCTAACAATTATATATCCATGTATGGAAAAATATCAAGAAATACAAATTTTAACTTTATGGGTTTGATAAAATTGCTCTTAAAACATAGATGACTTATAATATAACAACCAATCCTAATAATATATCTAGATTGTTATTCAACCAATGATTGCGTTACTAGGGTGCAATGTACTCGCCTTGATATCGTAGAGGAAGGAAGTGATAGAAAAGGATAATAACACCTCAACGAATGAGCAACGTACAGTCACTCCTATCAACATCGAGCTTCCGACATCCAACCTTCTTGAAAATAACCTTTGGAAGTTCCTAATAACCATTCGAGAGTTGATGGTAAGCGTTTGGAAAGAAACGATATGAATATGGTGGAGAAACATAGCCAACCCGAGGAGCTCGCCACCACTGGCGCAGTCCTGGTATTTTGGTCATATCTCCTTCGTTAATTAACAAAATCACGAACCGTTTGTTGGGTTGGATTTGCAACATCCAGTGCTACAATTTTAGTATAATAAGTATTTTGAGAAAATGGATTGAAAATTACAAAATTGACGAAGAAGTTGCTGCTGTGTTTTGTACTCACGATTTTGGGACTTTGATACTTCTCCTTGTTTCTCCTTCTTCTTCCTAGGCACAACAATGAAGTTGGAGTCCCCTTTCTCCTTCCTTGATACTTGACCGATAGAGAGAGATATGAAGAGAGAGTGG